TCGGGGCAGCAGTTACTGGATGGAAGGTACTAGAAAAATGAAATGTTTCTTTTCTTTTCTGCTCGTCAGTCATTTACGTGGATACAATCTTTAACATTCTATAATCTTCTATGGAAGGTTGTAGTGATTTTAATCTTTCTTCAATTCTTGGTCTTTTTCTAGAACCTGCCAGGTTATCAAATCTTAAGTGAGCTGATTACATTAATATTATGCATGCAAATTAGCTGCTGTGATCTTTAGAGGAGGTAACCAGCATTATCGCCATTAGTAAAAGTGCGGAGAATCCTGAAATTAGCCTCATTTCAGGTTTATCTGTCCTCTAAGTGTTTTAGAGATTTGGAACAATGAGCTACCCTTTTTGAATGAATACTCTCCCTAAGCTTATGCCAGATGGCACTAATTTAATAAATTTCTTCTTGTTGCTGCTTCTGGCTTTCACCTATTGCTTCCTCTCTACTCCAGGAACCTGGAAAACACATTTCCCATGAGTTTAGAAAGCCATCTACACAATCAGGTTTCTTTTTACTTGATTCAAAAAGCCGATTTATCTTCCAACCTCTGGAGGTCATTTTGTCATTTTGGGTTCATTCATTTGTCAATGCAGGCATCAGTTGTTTCCGATGAAGAAGTCCAAAAACTTGTATCAATGGGTTTTGATAGGGTAATTTGCAGCTTCCGTTGTCTACATTTGATTTTATGATTGCTCGTCTGGATCCTTTAAGCTGTAGCTTCTATCTTTTAAAATATTTTTGAAAATTTGGGTCCACTATCCCTGAAGAAGTGAATTGCTTTGTCAATGTTCATCTTCTTTGGAGAAGCACTTCCCAGGCTAGTCTTTGCCGTTTGATCAATCACATAAAGCATGCTATGAGAAAGGACAAATGTTTAAGTGCTAATGGAGCACGTCGTGTAGTCCACCCAAGCGAATCTGAGTGTGCGAAGTGTTATCTTAGATAGAAGATGAGGAAATCCATGACTATCCACTACAGTCATTGATTTGGACTGATGAGAAAATTATGCTCCAAGAGCACCTAAAAATTTCTCATGAGAAGGGCTCTTTCTTTTCCTTTCTCTTCTCCTAGTTTTGATTTTGCTTTTGTTTTTCCGTGTCGTTCTTTAAAAGCAAAATTTTAGAATACAATTTGGAAGCGAGTCTTCATAGTTCTTTTAAGAGACTTGAATCTGCAATGAGATGAAAATGACCACGTATTGATGCATATGATCGAAGAAAGAGATTAACCATTTGGTATTTCACCATTTTCTTTTATGATTTTTAATTGTAGACCCCCTGTTCATCGAAGTTTAACCTCAACTATTCACATTATCACGTATGTCTATGACTAACTCCTTGGTCGTGTTTCAGACACAAGTTGAAGTAGCAGTTGCAGCCGCAGATGGGGATCTTAATATAGCAGTAGAGATTCTAATGAGCCAACAGGTAGTTCTTAGAAATCTGAAACATCAATAGGATTCTCATTGTGCTTCTGGTTCTAAGTTGCAATCGTGCTGTGCTACAGGGGTGAAGCCGGGGCAAGCGCATTTTCCACATTATTCCTGGTTAGCTCCTCCATTGGGATTGATCTTCTGCGCTCGGTTTCAGCTGATCACCCAATGTCATTCTGTATATAACTTACTCTTAATTACTCAGTTTAACATGTTCTGACGATGGTTCAGAAGAGGCAAAATGGGGAAGAAGATATTGTACTTACAGAGTCACTAATAGGATTTGAAAGAGAACTTGGGAAGGGTGAATTCCTAGGCATTTCACCTAAAGCATCATACTTTGAGAATGGTATTGCATCCTGCTATCTCCAGGGCAAAGAAAGTACTGTTGAGAATTCGAAGGAACTTAAATTTTCCTCGGTATGAGATTGGGTGTAATTGTATCTCCCAGGCAAATCAAAGAATTTTTGAAAATTTGAGAAGCGTAATTTTACCTCCGCAAGGGATAGGGGTGTAATTGAGTCGACCTGAACCGATGTGGCGCCGAGCTCGAGCGGCTCGAGCTTAACTCGATTCACATGCTTGGCGCTCCAAACTTGATTCGAGCTCGATTAAGTATTGAACTTTTTTGGTCGAGAGGTCAAGCTTGATCTTGATCTTTAAAAAGCTCGAATGACTTTCCACCTATTTTGATATGTGTGGGTAGACATGTAACTGTTTTGAGACGAGTAGCATGATCTAGTGTCTTCTTTTGACTCATATATCGTTGGGCATAGTTAGGTTAGAACTTTCGTATCGCTAGGTATATTTTTACGAAGTAATCTCGTCTTCGACCCGCACTTTCTGATTGCGAGCACATAGCGGACAAGATTTGGTACCATTCGTCATCAAAGGGTGCAATGTCTAATTCAAAAACGCTGCCGGTGGCCCAAGAGACGATACCCGTTTATTACACGCACACATTAGACAGTATACATTCTTATTTGCATGGATCGATCTTTCATCAGCACACCGACCACTGCCTGATCTCCCGTCGATCCCCTCATTGCTTGCTCGCTTCTTTAAGGGGCTTCACAATCAGGATGGGGCATTTCGCGTGATGCGCGCAGTAGTCGCTCACACTCCCTAAGAATGCCCTGCGATTATACCGAAAAGATGTCAATTCAATGATGAAGACGCTTCGTGGTAAGACTGGATTACCAAGAAAAACTTCACCGGAGATGTCCGTGCGCGAGTAGAACTTGAAAGACTGACAATGTCCTAAACGTTCATGGGTCTTGCACTAATCCAAACGTGGTCGAAAGACGACTGCGTCAGCTGGTAAATTGATACTAAACCAATACTAGCTGTCTCAATATTTGTACTGACATTAAAGGGTTTGGTCTCACTTATGAGTTATGATCAATCACCTTTTGATCTTTCCGAGTCCGCGGCTGCCCACGACGAGGAGATCCATGTGCATTTGCTCCGTCGCCTGGCAGATCATGTCTTTCGGGTCCCCGATCAGAATCAAGGTCTCCGCCTTAACCTGCAAACACCGTTGAGATTACGATTGTGTCGTCCGCAAACTTCATCAACCAATGCTCAACTCAACATCGTCAAACAAGATCAGGAATTCTCCTCCTCTTTTATATTTGTTCCTAAGTTTTCCTCTTTCATTGCCGTGCTCGAAATTACCATCGATTCTTTGCACATGTGCAAACCACGGGAGAGTACGACGGCCGAGTTCTCCTCTTGGGCTGTCCTCACCGATTCCACCACCGACGACGCCGCGTAGAATGCTGCAACAAATCCATGTAATGTTAATGCGAGCTATAGGTCAAGCTCTGCCATTTTCGGCATCATTTGATGACTAGAAAGCCCATCTTAGATAGGTAAAACCCGACCATCGTCCGTCAGTATCAATCTCGGTATGTGTCCGCCCATCAGTTTTGAGTAAAAACTAGATGAGTTTCAGACGGAGAGAGAGAAACCTGCTCCGCCTGGGCCGGCTGGGAAGAGGTACTGCTGGAAAGGCTGCTGAACGTGAACGAGCGTGATCATCTCCACCTCCTCCTCGTCATCCGCCGCCGGAGCGGGGCTACGCCTCTGGACCAGGTGGTTCAGCGTCCATCTCAGCGCGTAGAAACTCCCTTCGCTCTCGTCCACCGCCACCATCACTTTCCTCTTCGACTTCCTACCCTCCGCCGCGTGCACCGGCTCCTGCATCACCATCCCCACCACCGTGCTCTCCTCCGCTGCTCCACCCGCAGCCGCCGCCGCGTCCATCGCCGGATTTCGCTTGGGGCCTGACTGGGGGATCCGGCGAAGTCGTCTGGCTATTTAAGCTCTCTCCATTGAGAGGAGAGAGAGGAACGGGTAAACGTGGTGGTGCGATAGCCGAAGGAGGAAGGAGAACAGGGACACGTGGCGTCCATGCAAATGCTTACGGCCAAACTTTCCATCTTGAGTAAGTCGAGCTCAAGTTACTCTCATGTAATTGTAGCACGACTCATTCATAGAGTTCTCCAAATTATCAATGTGTGAAACTTGGGAAACCTAAAGACAATTTTTTTTTGTTTATCATATTTCTAACTCTCCTCTCTGATTTTTCCCTGCCAATGTGGGAGTCGAACCTCACCTGTGATACTAGCGTCCCCATCCGTTAATCCCTTTAGCAACAGAGCCGCCCTCTCTAACTTTTGCTCTGCTACTACAGGAGTTGAACCCCACCCTTGATACTAACATCCCCACCTTTCAATCCCTTTATCAGCAGGGCCACTACTACGGAAGTTGAACCTCACCTGTGATACTAACGTCTTTACCCTTCAATCCCTTTACTAGTAGGGGACCTGTGATACTAACGTCCCTACCCTTCAATCCCTTTACCAGTAAGGGGCCGCTACTTCGAACTCCACCCCTTCAATCCCTTTACCAGTAGGGGACCTGTGATACTAACGTCCCTACCCTTCAATCCCTTTACCAGTAGGGGGCCGCTACTTCGAACTCCACCTGTGATACTAACGTTCCCACCCTTCAATCCCTTTACCAGTAGGGGACCCTTCAATCCCTTTACCAGCCCTACCAATAGTGCTGCATGACTATTGGCATAAAGACAGACACCTCGTCTCCTTTACGTTGTTTTTTTGGACTCGTCTCCTTTACGTTGTTTTTTTGCACGATCTTGGCATCATTTAAACCCTACGCCAATTCAGTTTAAGTAGCATCAAATTATAGTAGTATCCCGGTAGGCAATCGGCTTTGACGTGCCGGGTTTTCTGATCTTGCTGGCCGCATGAAAATCTTCAAACTTATCCATGCCCCTTGTGGCTTTCGAGGTTGCCTTTGGGTTATGTTTCCCTTTTTCTAGCAGGGCTGTGTGCTAAAAAGATCTTATAACGAGGAACAATTTTGTATATCGTTGAGTATAGGTAGGTTAAAACTTTCGTATCGCTGGTATATTTACGATATAAATCTCGTCTTGGACCCGCACTTTCTGATTACGAGCACATAGCGGATAAGATTTGGTCCCATTCGTCATCAAAGGGTGCGATAATCTATTTCACAAAAGCTGCCGGTGGCCCAAGAAACAATACCCATTTTATTACACGCACTAGACAGTATGCGTTCTTATTTGCATCGACCGATCTTTCATCAGCAAACCAACCACCGCTTGATCTCTCGTTGATCCCCTCATTGCTTGCTCGCTTCTTTGGGGGACCTCACAATCAGGATGGGACATTTGGCGTGATGGGCGCAGTAGTCGCTCACGCTCCCTAAGAATGCCCTGCGATAATACCGAAAAGATATCAATTCAACGATGAACACGCTTCGTGGTAAGACTGGACTACCAATAAAAACTTCATTGGAGATGTCTGTGCGCTAGTAGAACTTAAAAGACTCGGCAATGTCCTAAACGTACATGGGTCTTACACTAATCTAAGCGTAGTCGGAAGTTGACTGCATCAGCCCGTAAATCGATACTTAACCAATACCAGTGAGAAGCTGTCTCAATGCTTGTGATGACTTACGTATATTTGTGCACACATTAAAGGGTTAGCTCTCACTTAATGAGTTACAATCATCACCTTTTGATCTTTCCAAGTCCGCGGCTGCCTACGACGAGGAGATCCATGTGCATTTGCTCTGTCGCCTGGCAGATCGTGTCTTTCGGGTCCCCAATCAGAATCAAGGTCTCTGCCTTAACCTGAAAACATCGTTGAGTTAACAATTGTGTCGTCTGCATACTTCATCAACCAATGCTCAATTCAACATTGTCAAACATGATTGCTAACTCTCCTTTCTTACTTTTTTTTTTTTTGATAATCGAGGTGTCCGCGCGGCCGGCGAGCTAGGGCTCAAACCAGCGGTGATGCCCGACTAGTCCTCGAGGGGGGCTAGCGCAACATCCCACCGCCACGACCCCCCACTTAAATCACCGATGGGCGAGTTTGAACCCAGGACCTCTCGTGAAAGGAACTGAGCGCAAACCAACGAGGCCACCGATGGGTGGGTTCCTTTCTTACTTTTTTGTCTCTTTAACTTTTTCATTTTTTGTTACTGGACAAGAAATTTAAGGAAAGAAGTGGTAGAGATGAGTTGGATCACCATCGATTCTTTGCACATGTGCAATGCACGGGAGAGTATGAGGGCCGAGTTCTCCTCTTGGGCTTTCCTCGCTGATTCCACCACCGACGGAGTAGCGTAGAATGCTGCAAACACCGGACGCCCCGTACAAATGCATGTAGTGTTAGTACAAGCTATATGTCAAGCTTTGCCATTCTTGTAGATTACATCTTTTGATGACTAAAAAGTCCATTTTGGATGAGCTAAAACATGACTAATGAGATACATCAAATCATTGCATCTCATGAACCATTGCCGACCATCGGTTTGTGTAGAACTAAAGGAATTTCAGACGAAGAGAGAAACCTGTTCCACCTGGGCCGGCGGGGATGGGGTAGTGCTGGAAAGGCTGCTGAACGTGAACGAGCGTGATCATCTCCACCTCCTCCTCCTCGTCCGCCGCCGGAGCGGGGCTACTCCTCCGGACCAGGTGGTCCAGCGTCCACCTCAGAGCGTAGAAACTCCCTTCGCTCTCGTCCACCGCCACCATCACTTTCCTCTTCGACGACTTCCTCTCCGCCGCATGCACCGGCTTCTGCATCACCATCCCCACCACCGTGCTCTCCTCCGCTGCTCCACCCGCCGTCGCCCCGTCCATCGCCGGATTTCGCTCGGGGCCTGACTGGGGATCCGGCGAAGTCGTCTGGCTATTTAAGCTCTCTCTCCATTGAGAGGAGAGAGAGGAACGGGTAAAACGTGGTGGTGCGATAGCCGAAGGAGGAAGGAGAACAGCGACACGTGGCGTCCATGCAAATGCTTAGTGCCAAACTTTCCATGCAAAAAAAGAGCAAAAACCCTATCTTCCAGGGGCATTTCCATAATTATACCGAAATTAAGATTAATCAATAGTAGATGCTTTCATCCTAAATATTCAGTTTAGTTTCACGGATCACCATTCCGCTTATAGGATGGGAATTTTGATTTTCGAAACTCTAGTGCTTTGGCGATTTAATTTTTACCGAAATTAATCTCACAAATCTAATCATTTAATGTGTATTTTGTATCTTTGAATGAATAATTTATATTTATTCGTTCACTCTTCTTGATCCAGCCCTTCCCTTTTCAATTTAAACTCTATTTCCTCTCAACTTAAGCCGTCTAGAAATTCAAGGATTTGACCTCAGATCCATATAGTGATAATTTTGTGTGAACTGAAAATATAGATACATCACATCAAACCCTAAAGCGATTAGATTGATTCAACAGCTATAAGTATAGATCTCTCTGAGTTTATCTATGAAGGGACCCGCTATAAACTTAGTTTGTTGTAGATTGCACATTAATTATCTAGAGAAATCCGAAAAAAAACTACGTAAGTACGATCAAATTTTAATGTCACGCAAGCACGGGCCACCGAGCTAGTTATTTAGTATAACCAAACATGATTTTGACTTTAGAGGCCCTTTACAAAACTAAAAGCAAGTCAATCTACTTTATTGTTTACAACAAATCCAAAAATAAATGCATCCAAACACTACCAATTAATCGTTGATTACGGCCGGAATATAATGCTTAACTAATGTGCGATTTCCAAACGGTCCGGAATTCCGATAATTGAGGGCCTCCGCTGACAGAGTTAGGATTTCCGATGATCGGGATTTTGATTGCACTCCCTATAAAAACGTCTGGGACTTTGATGTAACCTTCCTGTTCTGCAAGTTTAGGACGTTTACTTTTAGTGTTAACGAGTTGCCAATTTCATATAAGATGGTAACTTGAATATCTAAATATACTTTTAAACGGAAAGGATATATATCCTATTTAAGATTTCATTCAGTTGCTGGAGTTGATAACTCTTATATCCGAGAATACCGGTCCGGGGACCTTCCATTGGATTCATGTCCTTTGATTCTGCGATGTCTTGAACATAGTTCATCCAGTTTTATTATAAAAGTGATTCAAGACATCTTATTTATGTATTGGGTTTTGATTTGGCAAAGCTGATCGTGGAGAAGCAGCAGCAAGACAATGGGTTCCAGAGGTTCATTCAGGTGGACTCTTAGCAACTTCAGAAGCAGACTTTGAACAGGGTCTACTCTGATGTGTTCACTGCTGCTGGTTGTACATGGTAATGAGAAATTTGGATTATATTTTGATGATCGCCGCGACGATCACCTTCCCAACCCGATGTTTTGCTTTGAAGCTCTGACTTTTTTTGGGGTCTTCTGAGCAGGAGAGTGCTGATTTTTCCCAAGGGGAAGGATACAAATCACTTGTCTTTATACCTAGAAGTTCAGGGCTATGCGACAATGCCGAGAGGGTGGCTTAGAAACACCATCTTTGCGTTGACTCTGGTCTGTGAATCCTATCCAAGTTGGTCTTTGGAAAGAGGTTTGTTCTCTTAACCTTTATTATTTACTGTTCTTGATGCACCTAGGGGACCGGCGGACCCGTTATGCGACTGGACGAACCGGCGGGCTTGAAGTCAAATATGTCGGATTGAGCTCAAATTTGGTCGGCTGAAGCGAAACGACGTGCTGATCAATACTCACGCCATAGGCTGTGATTAACGATGGATTTTCGCGATTCGGGGTCGTTTAGATGGGTTTTTCTATTTTTTTTAGTATTTTTTGTGGGTTAATTTAGTAAAGGGCAGTTTCGTAATTTTACGTTTTGATGTTTACTAATCCTAGTAGGGTTAGGTTTGAGGATATAAAAATTTGTTTTAGGGTTTCGTTTTATCAGACTTTGGATATTTGATTGTTAATCAATTGAGAGAACAGTTTGTTCCTCGTTATCTTTCGATTCTTCTGTTTAGCCTAATTTCTATCGCGCTTCGGCATCAATTGGTATCAGAGCACAGGTTGCTTGAATCAATGGCTGAACAGAATCGCGGTCGTGGACGGCGGGCTCGTGGTGGCCGGGGGCGTGGAGGCGTTCCTGAAGCAGACGACCAACCGCGTCTAAGAGATCTGCGAGACGTAGAAATTGAAGAACAGAGAAGACGAATCCAGGATTTGGAGTGACAACTTGCGGAGGCGAGGTTGGGCGTTCAATCCGAAGAAGAAGCAGAATCTGAGGATCCATCCGATGGTGAAGAGGAGGACGTAAACCCTTTCGGGGTTCTGAACCAGGGGCGGAATCGAGGAGTACGACCTGGAAATCAACGCTCTTCTAAAAATTTCGGGATGAGGATCGAGATTCCCGAGTTTACTGGTAAGGCTCATCCTGATAAGTTTATTGATTGGTTGCATACGGTAGAACGGATTTTTGATCTTAAAGACCTAACTGAGGGGCAAAAAGTAAAGTTAGTGGCTATTAGGCTACAAAAACATGCTTCGATTTGGTGGGAACACGTGAAAAAGCAACGCGCTAGAGAGGGGAAGCCGAAGGTGGATCGCTGGGAGAAGATGAAAAAGTTATTGTAGAAAATTTTTTTGCCTACCCATTATAAGCAAGAGGCGTTTATCGAATATCATAACGTCAGGCAAGATGATAAAACAATTGAGGAATTTACAGAAGAATTTGATCGCTTGCGGATGCGTTGTGATGTGGCGGAGGAAGACGAGTAGACGATTGCACGATATCTGGCAGGGCTGCGATATGAGATCTCTGATGTTGTCCAATTACAGCAGTATTGGACATATGAGGATGTATGCAGACTAGCCCTAAAGGTGGAGGGGCAGTTTAAAAGAAAAGGCAGTAAGTCCAAGTGGTCTAGCAGCGGTTCTAAGTGGTCAGGCAGCAGTTCCAAGTGGACAGATAAAGAGTCCCGAGGGAAAGCAGGGAGTTCTTCAGTCCCGGCAGCAATTAAGGGCGCTGGTTCAAAATCTGCAACAAAAGGAGAGCAAGGTAGTGCTGGATCTAGCAGGGGAGGAGCTGCAGGCAAGCGATATTTTAAGTGTCAAGGACTCAGGCATTTTGCTGCTGATTGTCCGAACCGACAGTTTGTGACACTTGTAGATAATCCAACTTTTGATGAAGACCCAACTTATGATGAATCTGATGGAGAGCAAGCAGATGTGGATCCAGATCCGGAGGACATTGTCTATGCCGATTCTGGTGAGTCTTTAGTTGTGCGTCGGGTTTTAATCATTGCGGAGGTAGATGATGAATCGTGGCTCAAGCATAATATCTTTCATACTAAGTGCACTAGTGGGGGAAAGGTGTGTAGTATGATAATTGACGGGGGAAGTTGCGAGAATGTAATATCTACCACTATGGTAGAAAAGTTGGGGTTGAAAACTGTCGAACATCCTTAACCATATAAGCTGTCATGGCTTAAGAAGGGGAATGAGGTAAAAGTGAGCAGGAGGTGTTTAGTGCAGTTCTCGATTGGGAAGAAATATACTGATGAAGTGTGGGGTGACGTAGTTCCAATGGATGCTTGTCATATTCTATTAGGAAGACCTTGGCAGTTTGACAGGAAAACACAGCATGACGGATTCAAAAATACATACACCTTCAAGAAGGATGGCCGGACCATTACTCTGGGTCCTTCAGATTTGAGAAAAGAAGGAAAAAGTAATCTGCTTTCCAAATCAGAGTTCCAGGAGGAGGCGGTGAATGCCCTAGACCTTTTTGCTGTCGTAGTCATTGAGCAGAATCTTGATAGTCCAGAAATTTCAACTCAAGTTCTGCCTACACTTGAGGAGTTTGCTGATGTCGTACCAGAGGAATTGCCACCTGGATTGCCACCCATGAGGGACATTCAGCATTGTATAGATCTCGTTCCAGGAGCTGCTATTCCTAATAAGGCAGCTTACAGAATGAATCCTAAGGAGCATGAGGAGATGCAGAGGCAAGTGCAGGAACTATTAGAAAAAGGTACAATTCGAGAGAGCATGAGCCCTTGTGCAGTGCCAGCTTTGTTGGTTCCTAAGAAAGACGGGTCGTGGAGAATGTGCGTGGATAGCAGAGCTGTTAACAAGATCACGATCAGGTATCGCTTTCCTATCCCGAGATTTGATGATTTAATTGATCAACTGCATGGAGCGACTATCTTTTCGAAGATAGACTTGAGAAGTGGATATCATCAGATTATGGTGCGTCCTGGAGATGAATGGAAGACTGCTTTTAAAACTCAAGATGGTCTGTATGAGTGGATGGTGATGCCTTTCGGGTTATCTAACGCACCGAGCACCTTTATGAGACTGATGAATCAGGTGTTTCGTCCTTTTATTGGCCAGTTTGTCGTCGTATATTTCGATGATATTTTGGTTTATAGTGCATCGACTGATCAACACTTGCAGCATTTGAGAAGGGTGTTCGAGACCTTGAGGGAGCAGAAATTATATGCTAATACCAAGAAGTGTCACTTCTTGACTGATCGTGTGACCTTTTTGGGATATATAGTAACTAAGGAGGGCATTCATATGGACCCAGCTAAGGTTGAGGCTATTACAAATTGGGAGATTCCGAAAAATATTCATGAGGTAAGTAGCTTTCATGGGCTTGCGTCTTTTTATCGGAGATTTATTCGGGATTTCAGTACTATTATTGCACCTCTGACGGATTGTCTGAAAGGAAGTAAGTTTGTGTGGACTAAGGAGGCAGAAGCTGCCTTTCAATTATTAAAGAAGAAGGTGACTGAAACATCTGTTCTCGTGCTTCCTGACTTTAATGAGATTTTTGAGGTGCATTGCGATGCTTCAGGTG